ACTTGAAATTTCTAAATATTTATTTTGATGGTTCAATAAAAATATTTTCAGGTTTGTATCTAAAGTCTCTAGCTAAATTCTTAAATACGCCATTAAAATCGTTTTTTTATGTGTGTATATATATATATATATATATATACATACTAAATTATTCATTAATTAATCCTTTAATTATATATATATATATATATATATATCAGACACAATAACATAATACTATGAAATAAGGGATTAATTAATGAATATTTTAGTAAATACATCTATTACGCAAGCTTAACTAACTTAAAGACAGGATTAAAGATAAAGGAATTATATATTGTCAAAAAATTTTATTATCTTAAAAAAATGAATTACCTTATCGTATTATATGGTGTTATCGATAAGAACGCCATGTTTATACATTGCGTAAAGAAAATGCACATAACTGGTTCCATACTTCATTTCTGTATGCTTTCTTACTTCCCATTACAAGCGGCCAGGCATAATTATTCCGTCTTCTGTCACATCTATCTCTCGTCCCCCGGACGAGCAAACGAGTTCACTGACAGTGAATGCTTCTGAGGATTATTAGCGGTTCCCATTGAGTTCATCTCAATGTCCATCAGTTTGTCTCTTCATCCAGTTTGTAATCTATTAAAAAAATTATCTTATTATACGGAAACGTACGTGAAATATCCCACTGAATTGTGGGCTTAATGTGTAGTGAAACTAGCTTATTGTATATTTTTGTATGAACGCCAAATAAAGTCGATAATGCTCTCAAAGAAATTATTGACAATTAGTGAAGTAGCTATACGTTACTTCACTCTCTTTTCTATTGACTTTGTATGATTCTACCAAAGCTTGAACGCGATGAAATCAAGAGTACACATCTTGTACTTGACAAATGTTTCGTAAAATGAGAGTGCATTTTTTTTTGAAAGTATAACAAGAAACGTAATGCATTTGCGATTCAACAGTTAATAGGAGCGCTGTACAGGTCGACCATTTGAGAAAATTTTCTGTGACGTTCTTCCATCAACGTCAAGATACGAGCTGTTCCGAAGACATAACGACGTGTCTTACGCAACGCTTAGTTCCATTCGCGAGGTACGAGCGGAATTTTTAGAATTTGATTCTGCGGAACGAGATTCGGTAGCGGTAACGAACATCAAAACGAACGATCCGCAAACGATTGCGGCGGCAAAAGTTAGCAAGAGAGATCGGTATATGCGTTCTTTTCAATTCACACGCATCGCATTCGTTTTTACCTTGCGCCTCTAATTCCATCTCATAAAGCGTCGATTAAACGCGTTAATTTAAGGAGGGACAACGAACATGAAACATGTCGCGAGATGTAATATGCCAATCTATTTCCATTTTCTGTTTAAAAAAAATTAAATTAGAGTCCTTTAAATTTCTTGTAGATTGCCGTAGCCGAATATAATACATTTGACATCATTTAATATCAAAGAATTTGCTGTTTAAATTAATTTCGTATAATGCACAATTTTGTAATTCATTAAATTATAAGAATATCGATTTTTTTTTGTGAACTATTAAATCCACAAGAGAATCGACGACAAAACGTGTTTTTTAACCAATTTCCCGACAATTAAGAAAAAAAAAGAGTAAGAACCATCGCAGTAGGAATCGAATAAACAATAGTAGATTTGTTTTTGACAGTTTTGGGGCAGTTACATTTTAATGAGAATCGCTTCGCGAGTGCACAGTGGCAGAGATGGAATTAGAATCGATGCGCGTTTTCTGTCGCAATACGCAACACGCCGAGATCGTCGAGAAGAAAAATGCGGCCGCGCTTTCATTAACACGCGCTTCGGCAATCGACGGCTCTTTTCTTTTCTTTCGTTTAACAGTTTTACGTTTTGTTCGACCGGACATTCTCCATTCGCACTTATGGAACACTGATATAGATAGTGATTATGGGTGACAGGACTCCTCCCCCCCTCCCCCCATTGAGAGAATAAGGCGCTCTTGGGTTTTGTCTCAACAGATAAAGTATAAAGGTTCGCACGCAGTTGAACATACCTTTTCCTGGTTAAATTCAAAGCACGCCAGCTTTGAGCGCAAACGCAATTTGTAGCGCATTTATCCACATATCGCAGGTTGCTTTATTCGCCGATCGTCGCATCTACGGGTAGCCACGCATAGCGAGTGAGTAATCGTCGTAATCGGTTCCTTCGATAATCGCAGGTCGACAAGCCGCCGCCGCCGCCACCAGGGTAACGTGTTTCGGCAATCGCGTTCATCGCACGTTCACAAATCGGCGTTTCAGTACAGGCCTAACTAAGTAAACTGCACCAGCTGGAGACTGACTTGACGTTTAGCATTGTCGAATTCTTTACGTTCCATATTTCTTCCGATTACATTTCACAAAATTTTTTTTTTTTACGTTTCGAGATACTGTTAGACTATTAGACTCTTACATATCGTACAAATCATTAATATTTTGTACAAAGAAAGATAATTCTCGCGTAAGATGCCTTTAGACAGTCGTAGAATTCAAGATTACAATGCACAACGTCGTCGAATTAAGAACATTAAATAGCATAGTTGCACGCACGCTGATTATTACTAATTGGCTCTGCTCGCTCCTACGAATGACACAAGTTGATGTATTAGATAGGCAAACTAGTTTTCTATCCGATGTCGCTGCCATAAGTTGATGATCTCTTCTACGAAGTAGCAGACTCAGCGTCACGCTATGAGTGTAACATTTTTTACATAACGTGACGCTGATTCTGCTACTTCATAGAATAATATTAAAATAAAAAAAAAAAAGCATAGAAATGAGAAAAAAAATAGAAAAAAATAGAGGTGAAATATCTTGAGATGAAAATGACACTTCCTTATGTGAATTACATTGAAAATAGAGATGCTCCTCAATGAAGTAACGTTATGATTGTATATCTTTATAATGACATACGTTGACAAATAATAAAACTTAGCGATTTTACTACGCACTCAGAAAGACTGCAAGAAGAAGTGATGAATTATATTACACATTATTAGAGTCTTCTATAAAGATTGCTTTAGGGCATTCACATTTTGCACTTTATTCGTTTTATATATAAAGGTACATTGTGATAATTGCTATTCTCTGCTTTATGAATAAACATTTGAAAACATTTTATTCAAGTTCTTATGTGTAAAAAAAAAGATCATACAGCATTATTGTAGCATAAGTCACCTTTTGTAGAATTAATGCTATGGGGAATATAACGAAAAATCATATGCTATTGTAGTTAAGAGAATGAAATCGAGTGAAGTCAGACCCACACGAGACAACACCGGCTTTATCCGTTCACAGAAAGAGGGAGGAAAAAAAATTATGAACATAAACTGCATGAATAATGTAATGCCGAAAAATTCTCTTCAAACGTACAATAGGCTAACATAGCAAGTTTATCAATAATAAATTGATTAATCGATCAATCTGTGTATGTATAAACTGATTCATGGTGTACTTAAAAAAAAAAACTGGGCTTAAATTCAATTAATTGTTTTATATATCATCTATTGATAACCTTCTTATCCTTACCGTATTTTACGATATAATTAAACGTTATTAAGTTCTATTGTAAGTTTTTTTTTTAATAGTTTTTCATTATAATTATCGGTGGACTCAACGACGGACGCAGAGGGCAATTCCTAGGTAATCGAGTCCGATAAGCGAGTGATCGCTGCTAAAAGGCGATGGTCTTTTTTTTACGGTTTTTTTCGTTTTTTTTTCGGTCGCCTTTCGCATGCGCTAAGTGCGTTTAGTACACTTTTTAGTACCTCGGTGGCATTGCGTCTGCCGGACCTGGGAAGCTAAAAGGTCAGAAAATGAAAAATCGCAGAATTAATTAACGTGTTCGCCTTGCTGTGTGCAAGGAGTAAGAGGAAAGTATAAGATGTAACACTGGCGTGCGCAATCATCACGGGACGCGTTCAGAGATGCGGGATCGAGATTGCAATTACGTCGGCGTGGTATGGTGTTAAGGGAGCCTTGGATGTTTTTCTCTCTCTTTTTTTTTTCGTTCCACGTCGCAGCGCAAATAACGCAGATTTCTCGAGAGGCACAGCTACCAGATCTGGGCGTTCTGTCGTTTTGTGTTACCCCGATTATTGAATCTACTATTCACCAGTTGCTAAATTTGTAATCTTTCGAATTGTACCAAGAGAAATAAAATCGGAGTTCCATCGTTCGCAGATGACGAATATGAATTTTTACATAATATATGGTATAATTGCTTATAGCACATTACGGCAAAATATTGTAAGAATTAAAAAAAAAAAAGATCTAATTTGTGCGAATGTGGAACGATGTAACATCGATGTACTGAAATGAGCTGTACTGTGACATTTCGTAAAGCTTTGAAAAAATCAACTGATGAAAGAAAAGCTGACACCCAGTTCTGGTTAACTGTCATACATGTAAGAAGTTGATCGACACGCCGCAATTGTGCACCGTCGCAAGTACATTTGGAAAAACCTGACTCGAAGTCGGTGGAGAACAGGAGAGTCTCAAGTCTCACGTATGTCGGAAGACGTTCGCCGTGGGCGCAGTAGCTACAACGCAGCGCATATCTTTTTTTTTTTTGGTCTCGTTCCTCGGGACGAAGGTAGAATTGGGAAAGCGTCTCAGAGAAAGCTCTTAAGAGAGTGAGGGGGGAGAGGGAAGAGCGAATGCGAAGGACGTGCGTCTGTAGCTTCGCAGGCTTGCAATTTTTGCGGTGCGCAGGGGCACGATCGTGTGTCTTCGCGGCGGTCGGTTTTGTGTTCGCGACGAACGTGCGGGGAGGTGTGCGAGGTCGAAGATCCCGACGGGATCATCCCGTGTCTCCTTCGAGAGATGTGTCTCCACGGATCGCAGAAACTAACGCGCTGCGGAGAATTGCTCGCAGAAGTCAGCCGCGTTTAACCGGAGATATAATATTGTATATTTATCATTCGCGCGGGAGAAGTTTCCGCCTTTCCGAGCGCATCTCGCCATTACGGAATTGCCGCAGGCTGATCGCATGGCGCATCATGGACGGACGTCGTGCTCGAGAACTTTCGTCGCGGAGTACGTAAAAGAAGAGAGGTGACATATCACAAGTACACACCGACGTCGCGACGGCGACGAGTCCCCAAATCTGTTGTGAACCGCTGTATTAACTATGGACAGAGGATGTAATTTAATATATAGATTTCCAATTTATCCACGAAAATTTGAGTTTCCCTCAAAATAATTTCTATTTTCCCTTTGAATTTATTCGCCGAAAAATTACTTTTTTTTTTTAACTTACAAATATCGAATGTGCATCGAATATCGAATATGTTGTTGGAGCTAATCGAAACGAATTTAACTCCTAGGATTTATCGTCGAATACTTGACTTGAAAAATGTGTGCAATACGTAAAAATTAGAAATACACGTGTAAAAGTGCAGTAATCACATACGGTCGTTGGATCCGCGGGACTTTCAGCCACACGGTGATTTTCAGCCTCTCTTCTCTTTTACACTCATAAGACAGAAACGTCGGCTCCCTACACGTGCACCGATGGAAGCAATACGATTTTCGTATATACGCAAAACGGCATACCGTACACGGCGAAGGTGAACGCCTCCGTATATATGTATATATAGCCGAGTGTCGCGCTAAGTGTCACACCTTATACTTTTACAGAAATATTCAACCTGCGTCGAATCCGCATATAGAAATTGCATGTGTATTACATATATAATCGAGGCAAGAACGAGGGTGGCGTATATATAGCGCAAAGAGGAGTGAAGACGCCAGATTGACAAGCGTACGCATTGTGGATTCTCTTCGCTTCTCAAACGTCAACGTGTGTGTTACTTTTCATATAGCCGCAGTTTTGTCAATGAGACAAGATTAGTACGTACGGGATAAGTTTAATAAATTGCAACTTACCGTCCGCCGCCACGTGGAGGACCGTAAGCATCTGGTCTGTCATATCCCTCGGCATAACTGCAACAGAGATCGGACAAAGAATGCCGTTAGTCGCACACGGTGAGAGGGAAATAAAAGTTCTGCGCTTCTAGAGAGACGTTACGATCTGCAACTCACCCGCCAGCAACCGGTGGATAACCGCCACTCGGCACAGCACTGCCAGGTCTTCTACTGAACATATCAGCTTGTGGTCCAGGACCAGTGCTGTAACTAGGGGCCCCTGTGCTGTAGCTAGGTCCAGTGCTCATTGGCCTGTCAAATGGAAGCATATCATTACCAGGAGGATCATTGCTCCTTTCGTAGGCCATATTGCAGCTCCCTGATCCCTCCCTTCCCTTCCTCCAAGATCCATATATTCCCATGGCCTACCCAGATAATCCCTCTGTTGTACACAACTTATTTTCATTCTAGCCTGAGCGACATTTAATATTTTTTCTTCATACCGTGTTAACATATAATTATTTATCTTTTTATATATTACAGAAATAGCAATATTCTGCAACATACACCATTTAATTGCTTCAAAATATTTCCCTTATGCGTTTGAGTTTCTCAGGTTAAAATAAAAATGAAGCGTGACAACTATTTAAATAAATTTACAAAGCTTGCTTGTGAGCTTTTCAAATTTCTTTAAATCACTGTTGTTTTTTATTTATCAATTATACACGTATTCGTACTTATATTTTTAATAAATCTAACGTACGTATAAGCTTTATCGAAATCAAAGATCTAAAATTAAATTTTTATTTCAATAATATAATACGACAGAACTTAAACTTAGATTCTTAAAAATAGAAAAAGTTCGGTTGCCTGCACTGAAAATTGCACAATTCGTTAATTTATAGATAATTATAATTAAGTATAATAAAAAATTGATTTTTTTTTCAGTGCTGACATTCAAACTTCTGTATATAGTAAACATGTTTAATTTAAATAAAAGATTTTCTCACATGTGTACTGTGCTGTTGTGATAAAAGAAGGTAAAATAAAGTCGTACAGTATAATGTAGATGATTGCTAAAATTGTTGCCTCCAACAGTATAAGCGATGAAATATTTTAAATATAATTATTTTTAATAATTATTACTTTTTATATCTAACTTATCACTTATATTTAGTGAATTTTTAAAACGTATATTTTTTTATTATATAATAACAGGAGGCATCAGCAAATAAATTATCTACATTTCACTGCACTTGAATTAGTTTTAAATTTAATTAAATCTAAGTTTAATTAGAATTCTATTGAGAAAATTATTATTGTAAAAAATGTTTCTCGCAAATAAAAATTAAAAAGTTATTATATTAATATATAAATTTCCAAGATTACATATCAAAGATCTAATTGAATGTGCGAACAATTTTACAATCGGAAGTTAACTAATGCACCCTCTCAAACCAAAGTAGAATAGGCGTTTACAACACAATATTTTCTAAAATATGAATAAAAAAAGTGTGCACCAGGGGACACTTTTGTGGATTGCATTTCGGTTTGAGACAATTCAACGGAGGAATTACAACGCAACAGAATCGAAGATTACGATCTCATAAAATTGAGAAAGGAGTAAAAAAGTTATAGCGATTACATTACCAATGGCTCTCATCATATCCCACATCAGTGTACCCAGTTCCATACCCGGTAGTGGCAACGGCGCCACCACCGTTTCTCATCGGTCCAGCCGCACTCCGGTCATAATCATTTCGCGTTGTATAATCAACCGTACGACTGGCCCCGAAATTATCAGTGCGACCATAATCTACTGGGCCAGGTGCGCCACGATTGAAATCTCCGGCCATGCCTCCACCAACTACTGTAAACAACGACAGGTATCAAGTTTCTGGATTACATCGAACCCATGCGTTTGTTTCACTTGGCAAGTTTGTGCGTTCCTTTTGCGCTCATCATCCAAAATTAAACTCAGTAAATGACAAAACAAGACTAAATGAGAAACATGTTGACGAAACATAAATGTTGATTTAAAAAAAAACCATCAATGGGACGTAAATACAATAACTGGATATTTTTTAACGTCATGTACCTAACTGTTTACAAAGTGATTATATGTCGAAGGCTAGATTATACCGGGGACGGAGTCACACATACTTTTGAAGCTGTACAAACGCCACTCACCGCCGTGATTACCATAATCTGTTCTACCGCTGAAATCGGCGCGGCCATAGTCGGCCGTTCGTCCGTAGTCCGCCGCGCCGGTAGGTCCGTATCCTCCCACGGCGCCGGCAGCCGGTCCGTATCCACCGCCCATCCCCGGCGCCGTCGAGGTGTAACCCATCGCCGCGCCACCCACGTTCTGACCGTATGCCCCGCGATCGGCGTAGCCGGCACCGAAGTCCGCCCCACGGCCGCTAAAGTCGCCAGCCCCGCGATTGTAATCGGTGTAGCCGGTCGCGACGCCACCTGCAGCAGATCCATCGTAACCAACGAGTTGGATCGGAAGAACTGCAAAGCACGCCGAGATAAGGAATTGGTTTTTTAGTGTACAACTATATCAAGATTTCATGTTTCACATTTTTCATTCCAACATACTATTTTCTCAAGTGACTGTCCGTAAATATCGTATCGTTGCGCAGAAATCGCCAGGTGGTTTTTTTTCCAACGAGGTGTCTCCCCTATTTCTTTTTTTTTTTACACTCATTGGCGCGAAATAGGAGAGTGATGAAAGAAATAACAAAATCAGTAACAACATCAATGTAAAGTATTGACGGTAATGTTATCAAGGACGTTTTCCAACGAGAGGCACAGTTGACATAGTATAACACAATGAATCATTATGTTCGTATATTTGCCAATATTAAACAATGATGAAGTGAGTCACCGTGTCATCTGTGTCTCACGCTGGAAAGCGCCGTGAGTGTGGCGCAAATGCATGTACAGGACGACGTTGTAAGAGATACTCCAGGAAAATTAAATGAGAAAATAGTCTTGTCGGAATTTATACGATATACTTGAGATACCAACCTCTTCTATCATTGTATGGTCCAGGACGAGCGTCTCTACCACCGTCTCGTCCCCCCCTACCACCTCTCATTGGTCCACCTCTTCGGTCATCTCGGCGTCCTCCTCCGCCTCCGCGTGACTTTCCGGTCGACTGTTCCACGTTGATCGTCGCACCCTTGAAGTTGGAATTGTGGAGCGCCTTGATCGCCGCCGCCGCATCCTCCTCTCGCGCCATGTGGACGAAGCCGTATCGGTTCATCACGTCGCATTCGGTCACCTCGCCGTAGCGCAAGAACAACTGCCGCAACTCATCGTTGCGACAATTTTCCGGCAGCCGGCCAACAAATATTTTTGTTTTCCTCTGCAAAACGCAAAGAAGATTTATATAGGCAACACGTATTACTAATTCGCGTCGAGTATTGAGATTTCTCGCTAATGCATCGTACAAATGAGGCTGTAATTTGATATGAGATTTGTATCTCAGAAGTCGACCATACATCCTTTTCGTGGAAGGTATGGTGTCTGTTCGAGACTCGCTATCGCTCAGTTGTGTTGAAATGCAATTTTACAGAATGTATGAAACTACAATAATGTAAAATACACTGAGCATATAATTACAGTGAATCAGTTAAACTGTCGCATAGTAAAATATAAATAAGAACCTTATAAAAATTCTATTTTATTCTTCAACAAGGTATTCGTTTAAATATCTTTTGCCAGAGAGGGACTAATTGAAAGGAATATAATTGTTTAAATAATCTTACCGGCTGATTAGATTGCACCATCTGAAACAAACATCCATCTTAATTAATATACACACATATTTAGTCAATAAAATATATAATTTTTACATTTCAGTTCTTATAACTTCTTTTAGACCGAGTAAGTCTTTCACGCGTACAGTTATCGTTTACCACTAATACAAAAAGAATTATCAAGTTCGAAAATTTATTTAATCATTTCTACGACAGAATTTCTTATAATTATTTACAATAATAGTGTTACTTCATTTTTAATAAATTATATAAACTATCATGTTAACATTAACGCAATGGTTGGAGCTGCGCAAAAATATTTTTCTAGAGAATCTTTAAAGAATTTTTAAGAACATACGGCTCCGAAATACAAGAGGTCTGTTTTTTTGCAGCTTTATTTTTTGTTGCAGTTGTATTTTTTCGACATAAAATGAATATATGTATAATTAAGCGCCTAAAAATTCACGCGTTTGTTCTTTTCGGCCGAGCCCTTCGCATACATTTCATCCTTCCACCTTCCGCGAATCGTACGCATATCAGTTTCATTCAACGCAAAAAAGCGAGACGCGCGTGCGACATAAAGGTATTCCGCCTCTAAAGACGCGGCCGGCCTTTTCCTTCTCTCCGCCTTCCACGCTTCAGTTCGATCTTCCGCATCGACATCGAGCCATCTTTTTTTTTTTTTTTTGCGCTTCTTGCGCGTGGCTGCGAGTTGTCGACGCTTTGACGAGCTATCGCCGCGAGTAAACAGGAGGGGAAAAAAATGCGAACCGCGTATCGCGCGGCGGGAGGAGGGGGGAGGAGAGACGCGGTGAGGAGGGTCACGGAGGTAGAAGGCAGATGGGCGAAAATGGCGGTCGAATCCGTCGAAGGCGCCGGAGTCTCCGCTACTCCACTTTCGCGGGGAAGTGCCTGGCCCGACCGTCGTCGCCCGGTCGCGAGAAGTAATTAGCGATCCCGATTGCTCGCGCGTCGCCCCTCGTGACGCCGATCGTTCAATTTATTGATCCCCCTGGCCCCCCCCTCCCTCCCGGACTTTCACCGGGCCGAAGCGAAGGGCGACGCGAGAGGCACATACCGCGGATGACGCGACGCGATCGTGTCGGTTTGCTCACCCCGCAAAGGGAGAGGGGAAGGACGAGAGCCGCGAGAGAGAGAGGGAGAGAGAGAGAGAGAGAGAAAGAAAGAGAACGCGCGACAGGGAAGAGCGGAGCGAGGAAAGAGAGATGGAATAAGTAAGAGAATGATACATTACCGCTCCAGCCGCCGTGTCCGTGGTAGCGTGGTAACCGACAGACGTGTCCATCGTTGAATACCGGGGGGAGAGGGAGAAGAACGTAGAAACGAAGAAACTGAAATCGACGGGTTAGACCGACGTACGAGTGGCCCTCGTACACGCGAGCGTTATTCCGCACACTCGAGCCCCGCTCGGCTGAGATTCCGCTTTAAGATCACACGGGACGGCCCGTGGTGACTCGCGTCAAAAAAAAAACTGCCCGCACACGAGATTACAACGCACACGAGAGACGATCACGACGCCGCGCTCTGCTGCCTCTACCTCGCGTTCGTTCGTTGTGGCGGAACACACGGCGCTGCCAACTGCGCGGCACCGGCCCTTCCCTCGTTTCCGCTTCCTTCCATCCGTGGATCACGTGATCTCTGTCCACGGCCGCCACTGGCGGAAATGTTTCCACGAGAGAGATTCCGCGTCGTTCGATAGGTGGAGAGACTGGAGAGAATTTTTGTTCCACCAAATTACAGCTGAAATTGTTGAGAAAATCGCAATGTAATCGCGATATTTGTAATCAGAAGATTTGCCCGCGTCTTTCTAAAGCTTTATTGCGTCCACAATTCTAGATCTTGAATGAAAAGAGGATTGATCTATCGCCATGAACAATTCGGTCTAAAATTGATCAATGGCGATTGGTCGATTCTCTAGCTCTACGTTCGAGAAATTGGACTGATTTCTAATTATCTGTAGCATCGCAGACACAAAAGATTTCAAAGCAATTTTTTTTTTTTTTAGAAAAGAGGCATAGTAAAAATTTTGATAACAGGCAAAGTATGCAAATATCGTTGAACTGCAGGCGAAAAATAAATGCGTTTAAAAGATCAAAAAAATGTTTCATGATTTTTATTAAAGACGATTTTCATGACTGCAAATTGTGAACCAGACGTAACGTCGCTTGAATTGTTTACAATACTGCACATTGTGAAAAGTGAAATTTTACCTCCTTTTACTTCACATCCCATTAATTTATCAAATAATTTAAAAATCAAAACGGCAGGGGGCATGCAGAACCTTTGTTTTACTGATTTACTCCAATTAAATACGTCAGTGGCGTTGCGCATGCGCGTAGAAAAATGGAACCACGGTCCACGCATCGTCCACGATTCACATCTGTGTGTAACTGCGTACACGTTGTGTACATGTGTATCTACTATACTGCTGTATACGTGCTGCGTGCTCCACCGTGGACGCAGGTGCATCTGGGTGCATCGCACGCATATCCGTGGCCATCATCGGCGAGGTTATAATACGCGTTCGCTTTTTTTTTTCCCCGATAAAATGAAGAGATCGCCGTTGAACAATGCTGTGCACGGCGGTCGGCCGAGGCACTCGCCGTACAACTGGAAGAATACGCACGAGAGCGCGTGCGGTAGAGGTTATCATGCCGCGGAGGGTAGCAGCTACCAGCGTTTCCCCGCGGGAAGTGCGGGGCCGCAGCCCCCCCGCGACGACAATTTCATCCCCCTGGACGTCAGCACGCCCAAGTACAACGCCGGCAATCACTCGTCGGCTAACAACCGGTACAGCGGACGCGGCAGTCCGAGCGGCGGTGGATGGTACAACAATTACAGGGGCAATTATCACGCCACGCCGAGGTCGAACTGTGGCAATCGGTACCCCGCCTACAAGCACTCCCCCAAGCAGTTCCGCGGGCAGAAAAGAAAGGTGAGCGCTGGGCAGGCTGGGGAGATGCGTGGGAAAGTATATATAGATTCTTTCACGTTGGAGTGTATTCGGATTCCCATCCTCAAGTGTCATTTTTATCCTTGTTTAACATTTAATATGAACAACAAGGAAAAAATGATTCCTGGGTGACCCTTGCGTGAGAAAATCCAAACGCACTCTTGCATGGGAGGATCTCATGATCGGCATTTTAACAACAGTACATTTGACTTTGTTTTACATATTTCTTTAGGACTACAAAGGAGCGCACAGGCAGGTGAATATATCGGCGTACGTGGACATGAATTCCTTCTTGGAAGATCCCTGGCAGGATCTAGTCAAAAAATTAGATGACTCGAAAGGCACGAGTAGAAGTGAATCATTATCCAATTCAAAATTGGTGGATAGCGATTTGGTGGAAAGATCTAGAAGCGAACTTTCGAAGGATTCGAACCTGGACGACTCGCAATGCAGCCGAGAGTGTGAAGACGCGGACACGAGTTTTGAAATGAATACAGATGTCAGTCAGATAACAAAAGTTAACAGTTCGATAGAGTCGGATATCGGTGATGTGTGCTCCAGTCAGGATTCGCTAAATGACAGCACGTGCAACGCCGGTAGGATTTGTGCAGCTATGCGAGAGGACAGTATTCATTCGAATGCATCATTGACGGATATTAACCAGAAAGATATATAACGATAACGAAGAAGTGCATTATAAGAGAGAATGCATTACAGTACACGAAAAGTATATACAATTGTTGTACATATGATCATGTACTTTTGTATATAAATATTGTATATAAGTGTACTTTTGTATATGTAAATATTGTATACACATTTATTTTATATTCTCGCCATCAATTTACTTCTCTATATATGCACATGTTTCTCATGAATATAATTAATATTATTTACAATTGTAAATAAACGCGATATGTAAATTATATTCAATATCGTGAATGGATTATGTAAATTAATCAAATTTCCAAGTATACTCGTAAATCTAATTTCGTAAAATATTTAGGCTTGGATCTTTAAACTTAAATTCAAAATATAATTTGATTATGTACTCGATTATATAATTAGCAAGATTTATTTTTATATATTTGTAATATTACTTTTTGATAAAAATTAGTTACATTTAGATTAGAATGTATACTGCAATGTATATTGTTGAATATAAGCAGTGTTACCTCCAGCCTGATTGCAATGAATAAAGCTTATTTCTTTTTATGTGATAACTAATTTTAAATGTTAAATATAAAAAATATTCTATGTATCTATAACATAAAGATGAATCGGACGTCGACTCGTCGACGTTGAAAAATTAAAATGGAATAAAAAATATATCATAAATCTCTGATATTTCCTTCCACACCTCAGAAAACGTAGGAAAATTAATAATAGGTCATTCTTATCGTGGAACATGTGCCAACACTTTCCTTATGCTCGTTTCGTTACTGCCCAACATCACGTATTCACGCTTAGCGGCAGTGTTACAATTCGGCACGTTTATAATGGAAATGATATCACTACTCAATATCCTACCGTAGGCGTCATTCATCTTCACGTTTTGTATATATTCCTGGCATCTATTATCTTCGATTACACTATTATTAGATCTAACGCTTGTCTTACTGATAGTACATCATTTTTATCTTGTATCTTATAAATTCCCATCGTCGTTAATATACATATATTTCTGTAAAGACAGTCAAATTATGGTTTACATGTATGCAGCTTCGGGGAATTTTGCTTCGTTGCTCTGGGCGTGAAAGATTATACTTTGCCATGTCTTCTTCCGGATGGGAAGATAGCTCTTTATCAAAATTATTAATTCTTAATAGAACTAGTCTTATAGAAGGATTATTTTCAACAGAATTTTTCTTATCAGAATTATTGTTGCCACAATTATTGTCATCATTGATTATAAGCCTTTTCTGCCACATCTTCCGCACGTATCATGCAAATTATTTCCAGCATTATAAGTTGATATTTGTCCAGAAACTTTTTCTCACATTTTTATAGAGTTCACACATAAAAATGATAAGTGTCCGCTTTCGTATTCCACATATGGCACTAAAAACATGTTAAATACCGTCAAAGCTGTAATGCGAAAAATTACGGGATAATTAAAAGTAAAATTTTACCGATCAGATGTGTCTAGTTTTCTGTTAGTTTTGATATCATTTTGTTTAGGTCACCGGAAAGATTGTCATCGATGACTTCTTTAAACGCCTCATATACAACACATTCGAGATCGAAAGACTTGTACTGTCGTCTCTCATTAAGTGAATAATATTAACTTTGCGGCTCAAATCAATTAACTGTTTCTGTATATAACATGAAGTAAGTAAATTTATATATATGCATATATGTATGTATGGGTGCATGCATGTGTGTGAGAAACAATTGATTCGTCTTTACTCTTTATAATCTGCACAAGGCTGCTTGAATGTTTTCTCCGTAAATGTCGTTATATATTTTTCTGTCAAGTCTACGTTTCTTTTGATATTCTCGGCTGCTTTTATTTTAATTACTTTACATGACTGCTTCTTATTTTTTATTCGGAGATTTTTTTCTTACGCTTTACAGAAAATGTCAGATACAATAATCAATTGAGTAGTGAATTTACCGCGACAACGACGGAATGATTAAATATTTAATTATACATTTTTAGATCCATTCTATTAGATATAACTAACCTGAACCTGCAGACAAAACGCAATGGTCTAACAATTAGGCGCAGTCCATTGTGTTTTTCCGATTTAAGCCTGATTTATCCCGACCGTAACAGTTACCTTTTACCGGAACCGGTATAAAGTTCAACACTAGAATTTCGATGCTTTTGTACATCAAGTTATTATGAACGACAATACTGAAATTCTAGCCATGAATTTTACCGGTTTTCAGCAAAAGTTGACAGTTACGGCCTGCAACAAGCTATATACCTGCTATTGGAAAAGAATGGCTCTCGAGTGACTTGAATATAGTTTTTCTGAAAAAACACAATGGACTGCGTTCAATTGTTAGAGAAGAATATACATGGTGCATCTGATATTTGCCCTTCTGTAAAGCGTGAGAAAAAAATCTCAGAAAAAAAGAAGCAGTCATGTAAAGTAATGAAAACGAAAGCAGCCGAGAAGAAACGTAGACCTGATAGAAAAATATATAACAACATTTACGAAGAAAACATTCAAGCAACCTTGTGCAGATTATAAAGACGAGTCAATTGTTTCTAATTCTTATAGTATTGCCTTATTGACGAAAAATAATTTTATTAAAATGACAAGTACGAAAACGACGATCGAATAAGCAAAAGAATAATTTTTTGTATCAATGTACGCTTTTCCATTTTAATCACTATTTTTACATGATTGTTGAACTACTTTGTGACTATGTATCGAATTATTATGATGATTTTTACGTGAGTTCTAATTGTTTTAATTCAATTTCGTCTGCCAGAATGTGTAATATAAGTGAGATATTATAGAATAATTATATTTTGATTTGCAACATATGTTCATGTGCGAGGATCGTCTTTTTCATACTCGTCATTTTAATAAAATTTATTAATAAAGATTACCGCTCGTATTTTTAAAAATAATTCAGTTGATTTAGTCCAATAAGCGAGCAAAACATTTTTTTTGTTGATATAAAACTTATAATATTTGATTCCGTTTTGATGCTATTTATTATATTATGTTGTCGATAATATATATTTGACTCCGTTTTGACGCTATTAAGCGGAATCGAATAATGTTGCTTATCTTGGAAAACACTTTGGTTTCTTCTCTTGAAAGAATTTCAAAAGCTATTTCTCCTATGTTTTCTCAAGATAAAGCGACACAATTGTCAATTTGAAAAAGAAAATAACTTCAAATTCAAGAGGACTAATTTGAGTTAAATGATTCTGAAATTCGCAGTCGCACAAGTATCTAATAAAGCGCGACATTTTAGCAATTTATGTCCACGATCTTGAATATACACCAAAGCACTTGTCAATAATTGCGGCAAAGACACACGTAATGTGGTAAGACTCGTATATTGACCGTTAAACGATTCGATTCGTCATTCTGTTTGAAATGAGTGTGATTTCATTGTACTCGATTTGTTAACGGAAGAATAGTTATCACAATGTAAAAGAGAATTATGACGTTTGTGGCAAATCGTACAATTTGAGAATTTACACGGATTACCTCGATGAGACCGTAAACAATTATAACAAATCTTTGCAATTTTTACCATATCGATTCGTTTTTGCACAGGTAATTGTTTGAAACTTTTGCATAAATAAAGTGAGTTTATTCTAGCACGCTACACAATTACGAGAGGAATTTAAAATAAATGCTTGATTGGAAGGAAGAACGCGTTGTTTTTTTTATTTGTTTTTTATTAAACAATATAGCTCTGCTTTGTTCTTATCCGATTCTAATGCTTTCGATCGTTCACGTTTAGATGCACACACTGCAGTCTTGTATAAAAATTCGTACATTTGATCGGGTTTTGGAAATTCGTCTCTTTCAAGAGTAATATCCCATTTCTCTAATGTGACTTTAGGCAATTTACTTTCCATAAAATGGACTAACATCTCAGATCCGGCAGAAACACCCAACGTATTTAGCGAAGCAACATGTTGTTGCATATCATCTGCTAGTTTGGACAAATTGAATGCGGTTTCTTTTTCTATAACGGATAAATTCAGAATTGACCCCAGATGTCGTGATATCAAAACGCGCTTCATTTCATACGATCGTTCTAAAACATCCCAAGCATTAGAATAATTTATTCCGTCAATTGAAAAAATTCGTATTTTATTTGCGAGTTCCGATCAAAGCTGATTTTAAATATTGTAATTTGTCAACATCGGATAAATCCGATTGCGAGCTTATCATATTATAAAATGCGTTTTTAAATGAAAGCCAATTTTCATATTTTCCATCAAAAGTCGGTAAAGCCGCTTCAGGCAATTTAATTCGTCGTTTATTAACCGATGCGGTATCTGACTTTTCGGTTCGTGAATCGACGATTACGATTTGCCGCTACTTGATCCCGCAACATCTGGAGTCATTAAAATCTGTTCTCTACTCTTACCGCAAGAAAATAAATACGCTCTTGTAAGTTTACAAATTCTGTTTCGTTAGGATTTAACACCGCGAGCTCATCATTTAAATCTTCAAACGCGTGATACAAATCAGTCAAACGAGACATGCGTAATTTTAAGGAGGTATTATCAGATTTACTTTTGTCAAGAATATTACTTAAATTAGTAATTTGGGATTTTAAAGAAATACGTCTTTGTAAAATCATTTTCACTTTATTCGACAAAATAATATATATAACTAAAGGTTCTTTCGAACGATCGATCGTTCATTTTTCGCTCTGATGGCTTGGTCTCATAAATAACTCTCGCGTTAATGTGTACTGTGGAAACAGGAGCGGGGCGCCAGTTCAAGAAGGGCGCCGGCGTAAGGGGATACCAGCGCAAGCGGGCGGCATGCCGCATGCGGGAGACACTGCGCAATCTCCCTTTTTTTTTTTAACATTTAAGGATTTTCCCTAAAACAAAAATTATAAAAACTAAAACTGTATACAAAAATAATAATAATAAAGTATTTTAAAAATATTTAAAAATATATACAAAATAAAAACAAAAAAATATAAAAAATATATAAAGAAACGTAATCGAGAAAAGCGGAACGGGAGGGGAGGAGGTGACTTTTTCGTCTCCTGCCCGGAACGCCTTAATTCCTCGACCCGACCCTGTGTAGAATATATGTGCGATTTTTGAATAATTCCTTTTAAAAGATTATCTCACTCATACTTACTCGTTTGACATTCTTAAAATCATATTACCAAAGCGTTTTTTTATTTCAAGTAATTTATATATTTCTTCTACTAGTGCTTCACATGTTTCATGTGTTGCTTGTTGGCCTTCGTAAAATCTATAAGGATTTGTAAGACTGTTTAATAATGAGTTTTGTTATATATATGTTACATACATTATACAGCACATTATACGCACATTAGTGCAAATCTACAATTCGTCGTGCATGACACTCATATTGATCGAGATGAATCAGTATTCATGCACATGAGAGTTCATACAAGATAGTTTCACTTTTATGATTAGTTATCATGACAATATTGATCTACGATTTTACAAATAACATTTGAATTATGACTACATTACTCTCTTTTGAACGGTTCTTGTGCAATACTAACATATTTATTTCTAAACTCACATGTGAATCGCGACTCAGAAATATTTTGAATATTTCCCAAGGAGCGTTGTCACGATCTATCTCGATCAGTCTCAGAACGATTACGAAAAGCGTACCTAAGCGTTGGCAAAGCGATCTAGAGCACAATCAGTGTTCTCAGGCGTTATCGCAATACGTATCAAATTTAACGAGATAAAGTGAGTATAAAGTTTTAAAAGTTGTAAAGTATTTTTAAACCGTTGAATCAAAAGTTTAATAAACATATTGTGTTGAAACAAAAAGTGCAGTGAAGTATTAAGTTATTTCTTCTGAGTCACGAAACAAGTTTATCTTATTTTATATTAATAATTATTCAAAAGTTGATGTTTAATTTTCAGATTCGTTTATGGTTTAATTTATAAAAAATGTGAATAACTAGTTATTAGAAGCTGTTATACATACTTTTCAATTACCATTTTTTGCATCTTTGTGCATAGATTTATTATTGTTATTGGATATTTCGACATTTCTCTTGGTAGTATTACACTAGATTCCTCGAGCATTTGTTGGTCTTCGATACTCAATCTGTATACACACATTAAAAATTATTCGTTTACGTTTTTGATTATGTACGCACAATTGCTAGTACATTGAATACCCTATAGATTAATACAATTTTAGAATGTATAAAAAAGATTACAAAAAATATTAATTAAGATAATATAAATAATATAAATAATGAAAGTAGAAATTTTCTTAAAAACATTTAAAAATGTCACAAAATACCGCGTATTTATTTCTCTCTCTAATAAAAATAATAATTCAATCGTACATATAAATCAATTTTGTTGAGTAATATCCGTATAATGGCACTACGTTTCCAAAAAGATAAATTTACTTTAATTTACATTAAAAAATATTAGTCTTAAGATTTAAGTTCATTAATAAAATATCTTTATTTACGCAATGCAATCAAAATGAATACTTGTTTTTTTAAATCTTTTGTTGATTGATTGTGAGTTGACCATCTGATGTTGTTGAAATATTAAGAACAGAAATAAATACAAGAATTTAAAACTACTTATATACAAATTGTGTACCACGGAATATTATTCAGCTTTTTAGAAACTTGTCTCACTCAAACTTACCCAAATATTTGTAGTCTTGAAAATACCTCATTAAGACTTTTTATTATTTCTTGCAATTCCAAATTTGCAAATGATAGTTGTCCTTCATGTAATTGTCGGACATCCCCATTTAATCGACTAAAAAAATCCGTAAAATTGTTTAATTGTGAGTTAACTGGTTTTATATTTAGGGTTCTGCTTGATGGTCTTAATAAATATTATACAATCATTTAAATTTGTAATTTGCTATGCTTCCGTTACCAAAATTTTTAAAAATTGTTGAACTACGAAAGCTGAAATATTCTGTGATTGATTAATTCATAAATTTAAAATAATTAATAAATATTTATGTTTTTTTATAACATGATAAAAATTATTCTTGTATATAAAAGTTGATGCTAAATCTAAAAATTGTGAATAATTACTTTTTAGAAGCTGTCTGTATCACTTACGTAGGATTTTCTAGAATTTCACTTATTTCTGAACTTAGGCGTATTATTATCATCAACAATTTCACAACAACATTTCGTGAAGCTATCATCCGATATATGATTAGATAGTATTCGAAGGCGTCTCTGGGATTATGCAAACTGTAAGATTCCGTAAATTTAGTAGTAATTAACTTTTGGTTTATAGGTATTTTATAGATATGTGCATACAATACAAATTGTATCTTTACGATTTACATTATGTTCGCACAATGCTAATATCAAATACTTTATGTTTCAAATTTAATAAAAAAGATTGTAAAAAAATTTAATTAAGATATTGATAAATAAATAATAAATAAAATTTCTTTTAAAAACATAAAAATATCAGAAATATGCCATGTATTTATTTCTCTCTTTAACAAAAATAACAGTTCAATCATGAATATAAATAAATTTTGTTAAATTATTGGTAAGATTTACTTTAATTAACATTAAAGAAAATCTAACATTTAATTTCTTTATATAGTATCACTAAAAAGAAAAATATAATATACATTGATTCTTCATCCTGATATTCCATTTTTCGTTTAGATAGTGGGGTCCTATGGAGATTTTTTTTCATTCAACTCGAAGAACTCGGAGTGTCCAACACAGACCTGTATTAATAATCATTGTGTGAATGAAAAAAGAATTGAAAATGCGCGATAGAATAGTCAATATTTAGAACGTTATAATCAGGAGACGCGTTAGCGTCTTTCGCCAAGTATATTTTTTCGTTACATGACGATCAGGAGACGTTTTTGTACTTATTAACAGAGACGCTATTAGTCCGGAGGCTCATTGTTTTGTGGGCATCATAGTATTCAGTTGGAAACCCATATTATTTTACTATTTCAGTGTTAGAGACAACAAGAGACCAATTGGCATACATGTACAGTGGATGTACTTGTTAAGAACAATTTTTTAAATAATTATTAGTACAACGAAAAAAATATTACAGTATTCAGTCTGACAGTTGTACCAATCTCTAAAGAAAGAAAAAAACCCGACGTACTATAATTAACATACCTCTAAAGTGGATTAAAGGGGTCGGTATAACAGCGCAAAGTAAGCTCTTAGAACACAGGCTCGGGTATGACTGTATTTGTGTTGCCATTTAGTAAACAATCACATTTTTATATAAATTAATGGAATATATCGTTGGCATTCTGTTCGGATGGATGAAAAGATCGCTATGTCGATTTAAAGATGTGCGTTAACACGATTGATCAGATATAATAGTATTTGAGCTCAGGTTTTGAGAATAAGTAAAGTTTACATCACAAACTACTGATTACATTATTGGCATACCAATGGAATGGATGTAAACCAGAGTAAATGTAAAAA